AACAATGGGAGAACAGTGTTTGTTTGTTTGTTTGTTTGATTGTTTTTTAACCTTCAAGCTACTGAAGTAGCTACTGAAGTACTGAAGAAGCCTTGCCTGCTAATATTTATTCTGACACTGAAAGGAGTACTTTTACCCCTGGTTTGGGGGCTTAATCAGCCATTGCTAACTCCTGGCTCTTCTCAGGGATCACTCCTGGTGAGGTTCCAGGGCCCTTCGGGGGTGCCAAGAATCAAACCCAGATCAACTGTGTGGAAGGCAGTTGCCCAACCTGCTGTACTTGCTACCAGTTCCCCAGCTAAGTGATTCTTTTTGATGGGGCCACACCCAGAGTCCTCAGGGCTAATTCCAGTCTCTGAGCTCAGGGATCAGTCTTGGCAATGGTACCATGTGGGGCACTGGGGATCAAATCCAGGTCTGTGGCATCCCGGGCAAGTGCCCTTTCAGCTGTTCCTATTGCTGCTGTCACCCAACTACTATAATTTATTCTGGGCCCTGCCTACCTACAAAAATCTGAAGTACAGATAAGATGACGTGGCTGACCAAGCACAAAAATTTGTAAGTCTACAACTATACCGCAAGGTGTTTCACTAATAAATAAATTAATTAATTAAAAAAAATTAAAATAAAGAATCTGGAAAAAAAAGATGACATGGCTGATTGTTACAGCTTAGCTAGCTTAGTTAATCTTTTTTTTTTTTCTGGTTTTGGTTTGGGGGCCATACCCAACAGTACTCAGTTAATCCTTACTTAAAAACATTGCTCTATGGTAGAGTAAAACTGAACAATTCTGGGGCCAGAAAGCTATTGCAGGAACTGAGATGCTTATTTTGCATGTAGCCAAATCAGTTTGATCTCTAGCACTGTGTCCCATGCACATCACTGGAAGGCCACAGGGTCCAGAAGCAGTTTTGCACTAACACCCCCATCCCACCCCAGACACACACACAAACTTAGATAAAATAATTCTGAGAATATAATGTGCGTGTGTGTGTTAAAACAACTCACTGAAATTTTTCCAAACTTTTCAGATTTTGTGTATTGTAGTAAAAGGGGATGCTTTGATCATCCTTGGCCCTAGTATTTAGAGAGGAGAGAGACAGAGAAGAAATGAAATCAAGGGGGAAGAAGAGATTAATAAGAAGTAATGGACTAACAGGCATCAGGGCTTCGCTATACCAGTGATATGAGTGAGGAATAATAACCATGTACCCAAAATACAGATTCAGCAGAACTGAAAACATGAGAACTAAGTGGGGTTGTTGGGCAGGGGGCAGCAGTGCTTACTTCTGGCTTCCTGCCAGGGTGCATGCAGGCTAAGCCCCTTAACCCCTGTACTATCCCCTCCGGGCCCTCAAAATGATGATTCTCGTTTGTGGACAAAATACTGTAGGCCAGTTATCTCACAGCAGAGGGGAAGCACAGCAGTTGCTAGTTGGAGTTTGTAAACACAAATGATTATCACAGAGCCAGGAGCAAAGAGCAGCTGTTCTTTTTTTTTGGGGGGGGGGGGGACAGCTATTCTTTGAGCCATATTTGTAGGTAATCTTTGATGTTTTGGTGTGAGGTCAAGGGTACCTTGTTTGCATGACCTCTCCATGGAAGCAGCCCTGAATGTTGGGAAGTTGAGTGGAGAATTGGACTGTGTGCCCCCACCCCACATTCTACTACACATCACCATCTCTCTTCCTCCCAATCAGGGCCAGAGTGATATTATAGCAGGTAGGGTGCTTGCCTTGCATACAGCCAACCTGGGGTTGATTCCTGACATCATATATAGTCCCCAAGCACCACTAGGTGTGACCCCAAATTAAAACAAAAGTAATAATAACTTTGGGGCCAGAATAATAATGCAGAGGGTAGGACATTTGCTTAGCTTTTGGCAGGGTTCAATCCATATAGTCCCCCAAGTACCACCAGGAATAATTAATTCCTGAGTTCAGAGCCAGGAGTAACCTCTGAGCATCACTGGATATGACCCCAAAAGCTAAATAAATAAATAAAAACAATAACTTTGAACTCTGTAGTGCAAAGTGAAAGGCTCTCAGTAGACTGGTGGGATTTTTTGTTTGTTTGTGTTTTCGTTTAACACTGGGTGGTTTAGTAATAAATACTTAATGTCAATGTAAATTTTTCTCATCTTGCCTGAAACTTTAAACTGAACAAGCTCAGACTCAGACTGAGTTCGCTATTCATTTCTCAAGAGTAGATTCTTACTCATACACACACCCTTAGTATTTCTTCTGGTGTTCATTAATTGCTTATGTAGAAAGTAAGTGTAGAGTATTTCTTTGTTCTGAGACTTCAACTTTTCTAACAGAATAAAGTGGCTCCTCTTAATGTATAGTGTAGACTGGGGGGCCGCTGGTTCTTGTAAAATCTCAGTTATTGATCTCACGCCTTTGGGTGTGTGCAGATCCTCCCTCACTGTTTCCAGGTCAATTCCAAGTGAGAAGCGTCTTGTCAGTTTCCTTTATGCAGAAAACTATCTTCAAAGCTGACTTTCTATGCTTTGAATCTTTCTCCTAATAATTCTCACCTAGATTTTGACCCAGACCTTAAATTTTACTCCCATCTAAAAACAAGTTTTGAGGACTGGAATGATTAGGTAGAGTATTTGCACGAGCTGACCAGCTTTAAATCTCCACCTCCCCACATGGTCCCCATACCCTGCTGCAAGTGATGCCTGAGTGCAGAGTCAGGAGCACAGCTGGGCGTGGCCCGAAAGGAAAATTTTTTTTAATTTTGATAAATGTTGTCATTACCTGGGCTAGAATGAGAGTACAGCAGGCAGGGCACTTCCCTTGCAATTGGCCGATCCAGTTTCCATCCCTAGCACCCCATATAGTCAGTCCACTTAGCACCACTTGGTGTGGCCAAAAAAAAAACAAAACCAGATTATTATTATTACTTCTTAATAACAGCTAACTCCATACGTTTTTAAAATGGTGTATGAGTCCCCCTAGTGGGTAGTATGTAGTATGTGATTCACCTTCCAAGCTTGAAATAGGTGACAAACTCATCATAGAAGCAGCTTTCAAATCCACTGTCCCCAGTGGTACTCTCTCCCATCCTTTCCCAGCTGAGAGACAGTGCTTGACTAAACTCTGGTGTGGTCCTGATAGCCAGTTATCCAGAAGCCATCCTCCTCTCTAGGATCCTTGGGCCAGGCTGTTCCTAGATAGTGTCTAAGCCCCCGCAAGTATAAACAGACTAGAAGTTAGTGGTTTTGGTATAGTTTTTGTTTTTAGGGCCCACCCCTGACCAGCTTCAGGGACTACCAGATCCACACATTCCAGTGCTCAGACAGTGCCGGGTTTGAAGTTAGAGCCTGTACATGCTAGGCATGTGCTCTGTCTACCACTCGACCTCTCTCCCCTAGCTCCACATGGAAGTTGCTTTTCAGCCATGGGTTTTTCGTTGTTGGGTGGGAGAGGAGGGGTCAGAGTAGGGGATCACACCCTGAAGCACTCAGAGCTTACTCCTGGCTCTGCACTCAGAGGTCACTCTTGTTGGGATTCTGAAGACCATATGAGTGCCAGGTATCAAACCCATATGCAGCTGGAGCGATGGCACAGTGGGTAGAGTGTTTGCCTTGCATGCGGCCAACCTGGGTTTGATTCCCAGCATCCCATATGGTCCCCCAAGCATCGCCAGGAGTAATTCCTGAGTGCAGAGCCAGGAGTAACCCCTGTGTATTGCCAGGTATGACCCAAAAAGCAAAAAACTAAATAAACCCATATGCAAAGCAAGTGCCTTACCTGCTATACATTCTCTCTGACCTTACCCATGAAGGGGTTTTGTTTGTTTAGTTTTTGTGATTTTTTAATTTTGTTCATTTTTTTTGGGGGGGGCACACCAGGAGATGCTCAGGGGTTACTCCCAGCCTTGTGCCCAGGAATTACTTCTGGCCGTACTCGGGAACATATGGGGTTCTGGGGATTGAACCCTTGCTGTGTGCAATGCAAGCTTCCTCCCGTTTGTACCTTTTCTCTGGCCTCTTGCCATGAAGTTCTTTACTGTAAAGAATACAGTATGCCTTGAGTTCCCACAGAAGAAAAAAATTATACATGCTTGCTTTAGGCATGCATAACTGGTGGATTAAAGACATTCAGTCAGGAAAAGGAGCTATACACCAGAAACCAAGAATAAAGGCAGCGTGGTATGGCAGAAAGAACCTGGGTTTGAGATTGAGACCTACTTTGCAATAGCTAATTTTGTGAATTTGAGCTGATTAATTAGTATCTCTCTATTTCAGTTTTCCCTCTGTAAAATGGGGTTGTGATAAATGTGTTTTGTAGATTATTTTAAGTATGGAAAGTGGGGGCAGGACAGATGGTACAGTAGGTAAGCTGTTTGTCTTATATGTAGCTGACTTGGGTTCCACCCCTGACACCCAGGAGTGATCCCTGAGTGCAGAGTCAAAAGTAATCTCTGATCACTACTGGGGGGAGGGAAAGAGGCAGGTGTGTTTTGGGGAGTGAGAGCATACATACAATTACCAGACATATTGCTCACTGGTAGAATGCATGTCTGCGAAAACCCTGGGTTTGATTATGTGGGGCAGGGGGAGAAATGGAAGAAGAGGTAATAAATATGTAAAGGTTTTTAGGTTTTTTTTTTTAGTCCTCTGTAATTTCCATGACAAAACTCATGGAAATGTTTTTCCTCTGTGTTTGTTATAGCACTGCACTGTTCTCCCATTGTTCATCAATTTGCTCAAGTGGGCACCAGTAACGTCTCACCACAAATTGTGAGACTTGTTGTTACTGTTTTTGGCATATTGAATACATCATGGGTAGCTTGCCAGGCTTTGCCATGCAGGCGAGATACTCTCAGTAGCTTGCCAGGCTCTCCGAGAGGGGTGGAGGAATCGAACCTGTGTTGGCCATGTTGGCCACATGCAAGGCAAATGCCTTACCCGCTGTGCTATCGTGTTTATTATAATGCTTAATATTTGGATAACTTTTTCCTTTTCCCATGCCTTCTTTTTCTTTCAGTCACCACCAAGTAAACGAAGAAAATTAGAGAAACCAAGGAAACCCATTACATTTGTAGTATTGGAATCTGTGATGAAAGAATTATCTCTCAAGTCCTCGTCTTTGGGCTCCGAGGCAGAGGAAGGCATAGTAGTTGTGACAACCTGGATCGAAAAAATTCTCACCGATCTAAAGGTACCCATTTAAGCACAGTGAAGATGTACTTATAATCTACCTTTTTTTTTCTTTGCTTTTTTAAAGGTGTTTTGACAGAAAATTTTCTCTAAAAAAACTATTTTGTTCTGCAAACAGGTCCAGCACAAAAGAGTTCCCTGTGGAAAGGAAGAAATTAGCCTTTTCCTAACAGCCATAGAAAACTCCTGGATTCACTTACGGAGAAAGAAAAGAGAACGTGTGCGACAACTGAGAGAAGTTCCCCGAGCTCCTGAAGATGTCATCCAGGCCCTGGAAGAGAAAAAGGCTACCCCCAAGGAGTCTGGCGGTAGCCCAGATTTGGCCAAGGGCACCCTGGAGAGTGCCCTGCGTGGGCCTGCCCTAGCTGAAGGTCCACCCGCTACTGCAGAGTGCCATGGTCCGCACCAGGATTTACTTTCCCAGGAGGAAAACCCAGAGCCCATGGAGGATGAAAGGAGTGAGGAAAAGGGAGGGATGGAGGTTTCGGAAAGTTGTAAAGGCTCTGGTAATGGTGCCCAGGACCAGGAGGCTTCTGAGCGGTTCAGCAACCCAGTGTCTGAAAAAGGAAACCATCTCCAAGGAGTGGCTGGACATTACCTGTTTAAGTGTTTGATAAATGTTAAGAAGGAGGTGGATGATGCCTTAGTTGAAATGCATTGGGTTGAGGGTCAGAACAGGGATTTGATGAATCAGCTTTGTACCTATATACGTAACCAAATTTTCAGGGTGGTTGCTAGTTAACTCGAAGCATCTTGCCCTGTCCGGACTACGATTTTCTATAAAGCAGATTTTTGTGGCGTGACCTGTGGGGTGACTGGAGAAATTCTACCATTAACCCGCTGGTAGCAATATGTAGAATTATCTTTAAAAACAGATACAGGGGAAGGGGACCAGAGAGATAGTACAGGGGATAGGCTACTAACTGGATAGGACCCCAGTTGAACCCCTGGCACCACATATAGTCCCCTAAACACTGCCAGGATTAATCCCCGGAGCACCACTGGGTGTGGCCTAAACTCCCACAAAGGAAATGGCAAAAGTAGATATAAATCAATCCATTATAAATAGAACCCCAGCCCCCCCCTCTTTTTTTAAGTTATAGGGCATTGTATTATGATAATTCAGAAGGAATAATTATGGTTATTAGTATCACCAAAAAATATATATATATCTAAGGAATTTAACCCAGACCTCTACTGATCTCCTTCGCTTTAGCCTGGTCCTCAGAACCCGAGAGAGGATACCTTGAAGTTGATCAAAATAGCACAGATTTCTGACTGTTGGTGTCACCCATCATTGTCCATCCTTCACTCCCTTCCTCCCTCCCTCCCTTCCTCTCTTTCAGCCTTTGTTCCTTCCACCACACCACGCGGTGCTCAGGCCTGGTTCTGCACCCAGGGATCAATCCTGTTGGGTTCGGGCAGACCATATGAGGTGCCAGGGATTGAACCCAGGGCAGCCTCGTGCAAGGCTAGTGCCCTATCTGCTCTACTATCGCTCTGGTTCTTCCCTCCCTCCCTCCCTCCCTCCCTCCCTCCCTCCCTTCCTCCCTTCCTTCCTTTCTTCCTTACTCCTTCCTTCCTTTAACTTAGTGGTACCTGGAATCACACCCAGGGCTTCACACATGCAAGACATGTGCTTCACCACTGTATCCTCTGCCCTGCATGTTTATTTTCATTAACAGTCTGTAAAATATGTGTCTCACACACCTTTTTGAGAAGGGTTGCTTTCTTCTTCTCTGAATGGAGACAGTCCCTGGATAGAAAGCGGTTTACCTTCTTCTAATCAACTCTAAGGTTAACAGTTTCCCTCCAGGTACATAAAGTTAATTTTGCCTGCATCAGTCCTGAGAAAGGAACTGGGCTTGTGGTAGGGCATAGGAGAGTCAGGTAGAGAGATCTTAGAAGGCCAGGATGAAGGGCCAGTCTGAGGAACACCTGGCAACATCACATTACTGACTCACGTCTGTTTTGACGTTACTTATTTCCTAACAGAATTAAGTAAGAAAAACTCCCAGATAGGGCTAGAACATAAGAGCATATAGCTAGCTCCTTACTTCCCTCCTTTTGAAAGTACTGTAATTGTTGCCATTTATTTTATTGTGAATGCATGTAATTTGTTTTGACATTTGACGATGGTGCTTTGTTTTAATACGATTAATCAGAATTGAAAATTTTCAATCTTATTTGAGTCCAGGACTGGAGATAGCATTTTCTTCACTTTAAGTTGGTAATGACTGATGATAGAGGCACCTGCCTTGCACACAGCTGACCCAGATTTGATCCCCAGCACCCCAAATGGTCCTCAGAGCCCACTAGGAATGATCACTGAGCCAAAAACCAAGAGTAAACCCTGAGCACAGCTGGGTGTGGCACTAAAACAAAAACTAGTCTCTGATTCATAGCCAGATAGCTCAGGACTAGAGTGCATGCTTTGCATGTGGGAGTCCTTGGTTCAAATTCCTGCCACTGTACATGGTCCCCAAGCACCACAGGAGTGACCTGAGCACTCTGGTGCTCACGACAAGACAATACAAAAAATCTGATTCAGGGCCAGGGATATAGTTCAGTAATAGTTCACTTTTCCTTACATGTGTGAAGCCCAAGGTCCAGTCCCCAGAGCCACAAATGAAAAGAAAAAGAAAATTTGATCTGTTGGCAGACAGATCGTAGTTGATCAAATAATGCATTTTGTTCCTTTATAATCCTTTCTGTTAATGCTTACCTGTCAGCATTAGAGAATTATGAGGTCCAGTTAACTTAGACCTCATTCTTTTTTCCCTTTTATTTAGTAAGACTTGCTTTTATTGCCATGCAGTCCAACAAACATGAGTAATTGCCACATCAATTCTTTTATTCAGTGACAGCGTAAACACTCACACATTCTGAAATAAAAGAGTTGGTATTTAGAAGCAGGTCTCTTCGTTTTTGTTGTTTTGGGGCCACACATGCTCAGAAGTTACTCCTGGCTCTGCACTTAGGAATCACTCCTAATGGGGTTATGGGGGACCATATAAGATACCAGGAATACAACCCAGATCAACCATGTGCAAAGCAAGCACCCTACCCGCTCCGGCCCTGGTAGCAGTTTAAGGCTGTTCCATTGCAGAAAAGTCCGGGGAAATGCAAATCCCACTCCTTATCGTAACTTTAATTCTCTTGTTACTTTGGTCTCTAAGTACATCCTGCACAGTGCTACATTAATTAGGGTTGCATTCAAAAGCATTCATTTCATTTCCCAAGTCTGTTAACCCAGCGATGCTCAGGGGTTACTCCTGACTCTGCACTCAGGAATTACTCCTAGCAGTGGTCAGGGGATCATAGAGGATGCCAGGGATTGAACACAAGTCGGCCACATACAAGGCAAGCTCCCTGCCCGCTGTGCTGTCTCTCCAGCCCCTGTCATCTTCCGATTTTTCTGTGATTTTGAAATACTACAATTCTGTGATATTCGTTTTCTACTTCTAGTACTTCTACTTCTACTTCCTAGCTGGTATCCTCAGTGTTAACTTCTTGGTTACACAATCCTCATTCTTCCCCCCCTCCCCAATTTTTTTTGGTTTTATTTTTGGGCCATACCCAGTGGAGCACTCAGGGCTTCCTTCTAGCTTTGCCATCGGCAATTACTGCTGGTGATGCTGGAGATGGAACTGGGTTGGCCTCATGCAAAGCAAGCACCCTACCTACTATATTATCTCTCTCTAGTCTCCCAAACCATTTTCTTAACTGCTGTTGAGTATCTATACTTGCATGTTAGCTCTCTTCTATAGCCTGAACTCACGCCAAAGTGGCCTTCGCATAGCTTATTGACATTCGTAATAGGGCTTGTGATTGTTTCATTATGTACGAGGCATATCCAGTATTTAACGAGCTTTTTGGCATCTGGAATATTTTCAGTCACAGCATTTAGTATGGTTAGTACTTCTTTTGAGTCCCCCTCACTCATCAGGTTGAGGGACTCAGAATGTCTTGTTTGCTTTTCCAGTAGTCTTTGTTCATCTTCTGCCATTGTAATCTAAAAGGAGCTATTTTTACATTCTGTCCTATACGTTCAGACTGATTACTGAGCCAGTAGGCCTTTTCAGCATTCTTCTTTTGCCACCTTTCTATTCATTTAGGTGATATTTTCTCTCTTCTGGGCTTTCTTTGAGCAAAAACAACCTATCATCAAGAGTTGCTTTTGCAGTAGTATGTCTACTCTGGTTAGTGGTGTTTTTGTTTTCATTTGTTTTGGTCTTAAGGATACACACAGTTGTGCTTAAGGCTTACTCCTGGCTCTGTGTTCAGGAATGACTCTTGGTGGGCCTCATGGGACCATATGCAGTGCCAAATACTCGATCTGGGTTGTCTGTGTGCAAGGCAAGTGCCTTACTTGCTGTACTATTGCTGCAGCCCCCTAGATCATTCTGTATCTTTTCCTTGCGCTCTGACTGCCTTCAGTCAATACGTTACATATATGTCACTATAAATTGCATGAATTTTTTTCTTTGCTTAGATCTGCATAGTATTCCATTTTATATATATATACATGTATATATCACAACTTCTTGATCCATTCATCCATAGTTGGACATTTGGGTTGTTTCTATATCTTGACTATTATACTAAGTGCTATAATGAACATGGGTTACATATATCCTTTCAAATTAGTTTATTTGTGTTTTGGGGATAGATGCAAAGAAGTAGTATTGGTAGGTTGTATGGAGGTTCTGTTCCTGTAATTTTGAGAGATCTTTTGAGAGATCTTCATATTTTCCTCTTGAAGAGGTTTTTCGAAAAGAAGTAATCTTAGATTGAACATTTTGGCCTCAATAAGATTCAAAGACAAGTTTCTTATTGGCATGTTAACATCTTGCTTTGTTTTTTTGTTTAGTTTTGTTTCTATAGTTGTTCCTATAGCTGGTTTTTTGTTTTGTTTTGTTTTTTATGATTTTTTAAGGTGAAATGCTTGGTTTAAAGTTATATATTGAGGGGCTGGAACAATGGCACAGTGGGTAGGGCGTTTGCCTTGCACACGGCTGACCTGGGTTTTATTCCCAGCATCTCATATGGTCCCCTATGCATTGCCAGGCATGACCCAAAAATAAATAAATAAATAAAGTTAGATATTGATTTTTGGGATCATCTTTAATTGGTAATGGTAGAGTTTGATTATTATCCTCAAAATTCTGTGTATCAGTAGTTTTGGTTGAACTGCACTTATATCCTTAAAAGGTTTTATAGTAATTTTTTTTGCTTTTTGGGTCACACCTGGCAATGCTCAGGGGTTACTCCTGGATCTGCACTCGAGTTAATCCTGGCGGTGCTCAGGAGACCATATGGGATACTGGGAATCGAACCCGGGTCGGCCGCGTGCAAGGCAAACACCCTACCCGCTGTGCTCTCTCTCCAGCCCCAAGGTTTTAAAGTAATTTTAAAATTTTTTTCCACTGCTATATTTTTGCTTCCTGTAGATCTGAAATTTTCTTCATTCGCCTTTTATTTTTACTTTTTTATTGAATCACTGTGGGATAGAGTATTACAAAGCTGTTCATGATTGGATTTCAGTCATACAATATTCCAACTCCCATCCCTTCACCAGGGTACATTTCCCAGTGCCAGTACCCTTAGCTTCCCTCCCATCTCCCCCTACCCCTACCCCCTGCCTGCCTCTGTGACTGGAGCTTTCCTCCTCTCTCTCTCTCTCTCTCTCTCTCTCTCTCTCTCTCTCTCTCTCTCTCCCCCCCCACACACACACACACCTCCTACCCTTTTTGGGCATTGTGGTTTGCAATATTGATAAGGTATTGCAAAATTGATACTG